GATGATGTGGCACCGCAAACTTGGCCACATGTCAGAACGTGGTTTGAAAATTCTCTCAGAACAAAAGCTTCTTCCAGGGCTCAAAAAGGTTTCATTTCCCTTTTGTGAGCATTGTGTTACTAGTAAGCAACACAAATTAAAGTTCAGCAATTCCACTGCTAAAAGTAAAGCTATCTTAGAGCTAGTTCATTCTGATGTTAGGCAAGCACCGCTATTGTCCCTAGGGGGAGAAAGATACTTTATATCTTTCATTGATGATTACTCCAGGAGATGTTGGGTGTATCCAATCAAGAGGAAGGCAAACGTGTTCGCAATCTTCAAAATATTCAAAGCGTGGGTTGAGCTTGAATTTGAAAAGAAGATCAAGTGTTTGAGGACTGACAATAGAGGAGAATATACTAGTGATGAATTTGATAACTTTTGTCAACAAGAAGGTATCAAAAGACAGTTTACGATGGCATACACTCCACAACAAAATGGAGTAGCAGAGCAGATGAACAGAACATAGTTAGAAAAAACAAGAGAATGTTGAGAACTGCGGGGCTAGCCAAGTCATTCTGGACAGAAGCAGTCAAAATGCATGTTTCGTGATCAATCAATCGCCATCAACCGCGATTAATCTGAAGATGCCAATGGAAATGTGGACTGGTAAACTAGCCAATTATTCTCGTTTACATGTATTTGGAAGTCCTGTGTACGTTATGTACAATACCCAATAATCATCAAAACTGGAACCAAAATCCAGAAAATGTATTTTCTTAGGATATACTGATAGAATTAAGGGATACCGCATGTGGGATCCCACAGCCCACAAGGTAATACTCAGCAGAGATGTAATATTTGCAAAAGTTAAGGTGCAAGAGAAAGGAAATGATAGCACTTCAAAAGAAAAATCAGAGACTACTACACTTGAAGTTGAAGACGAACGAGAAGTTATAGATTCTTTTGAAACAACACTAGAGCATGAAGAAAAAGAACAATTAGATGGTAGCAATACAAGAAGAAGAGGCTTCTCTGTGGATTGTAGTAATACAAGAAGAAATTGAAGCTCTTTATAAGAACAAGACATGGGATCTTGTTCCACTACCACAAGAAAGGAAGGTCATTGAAAACAAATGGGTCTACAAGATCAAACGAGATG